TCTCAGAATACCTCATATTAGCGAAAGCACTTAGACAAGAGCACATAGTTTCGTTTTTGAAAGGGGACAGCTAGAAAAAAATTGACAACTTACCTGAAAAAAAACTTAAAAAGAAAGCAAAAATACTTAAACCTTTATCCAATTTTACCAGATGTAATCATGGCAATGAATATAATCTTATTTCATGTAAAATACTTTGAGTAATATTAATCATTGAACAGATCCTGCAAATGAATGCGCGTAAATTTTTTTTATGGGCAAAGTCTGTTGAGTGAATGTGTAAAATTTGTTGAAAAAATATTATTTGAAACCTAAAATTAATATTCTTGGCATATAATAGACGATAAAAAATTCTCTAAGCAAAAAAAAAAAAAAAAAAAAAAAAAAAAAAAAAAAAAAAAAAAAAAAAATTCCAAGATATTATTTAAATAGTGTGTAGATCTGAAGAATTTTCTAATAAATATCCTTCCAGCAAAAAAAATAGACCCCCATAAGTCTCGTTTGTTTATGATTTTGTGAGCAGTTTTTAAATTGAATATTGTATTATTTGTATTGTTTAATTCAAATATGTAAGAAAAATCAATTGTAATAAATAAATTTTAAGCTAGAGGCTCTGAACAAAATTTTCTCAAAAGCTGACGAGTCACATACCTTAATTTGTCTTTATTAATTAGAATATTGTAATCCTGTATCTTTTAATTAAATTTTTTGCCCCCTTCTGTCACTGTATATACTTTTATGTAATAAAAAAGGATGAAGGCGCAAGTATAGATATTTATGCCTCCTCCTTCCTTAACCTCCACACAATTGATCAAATAAATCTTGATAAACAATCTAAACATGTAATATATAGGAACAAATAAAAATATCTACCAAAAATATTCCTAAGACTACATGCAATTATCCAGTTCACATGAATAAAACAAATACAAAAGAACTAACAAAATGCAATCAGTACTTCAAAACATAACAAACATTCAAAAGTTTACTTCTTCTTCATACAATGGTCATACTTCAGTTAACAAATTATTCTGAATCTGTCTTGAAAAAACAGACAGACAGACATGCAAATTTACACATATAAAATACATGTCTATTACCAGTATTCCGTGCCAGTAAAAAAAGTAAAATTTACAAGGTAGCATGTATGGGACTTACAAATAAGTTCAAATGTTAACATCTCACAGTAATCAAATAATTTGCAAAGGTGAGGTCCCTTACCCCTAAGTTGAGAAGATCATGCCAATCATGATCTTTGAGACGACCCCGCAAGTATAAATATATATAGCAAAACTATGTTCTGAGTGAAGTGTTCTATTCTGCATTAAGCTTATAAAGTAATCCAAATTCTTATGACACTATTACGTACATGTATCCATAGTTTAATAAATCAGAAGCCTTTGGTTAATAACCCTAGATATATAGGTATTGATATTTAGGGTTTAAGATTAGATATTACACTTACAGGTAATGTACACGAAAATAACATCGTAGGTAAAAAAAAATTCTAAATGTGAATTGTAAAGATATATATGTTTCTACAAAAAAAAAAATGTTTCAAAAAATTTAGTGGCATAAATTAACAATTTACAATTCTTTCATCGAAATATTCTTTTATGAGTCAGAATTCACGTGCATTATATTTCCTGTTCGAGTTATATTTAAATCAACGAAAATCGGATCCAAACATGGAGTCAAGTAACCGCATGCTGTTTCGGTTCCGGATAATTTTAAAGTAACCATGTTAATATAATAGAAGTTATCTAATGTATTACATGTGTATTCAACGTAATAATCAGTGCATTCCATCCTAATACCGACTAGATACTTTATTGATAAGGAGAGAACAAACTTTTCAAGTTGTAGAAATTTCTCAATCAACAATCTTTTCAGCTCGGTCAAACACTTTTCTCAAAATGCACTACAATGTACAACAAATTTTATTTGAATTTAGTAAAAATTGAAAATTTAAGAAAGATATACATAAAGATACTAAATAGATGTTATTTTTAATCGTATTATTTTGTAGTATTTTCTAATCCATCGTTTTACGCATATGCTAATGTCACAATCCCTGTTTCATGTCCGGGCAACACGGATCCAATACAGACAATATCCGCAGTGTACTCCCCGTGTTTCATCCTATCCAATTATCATAATGAGAAACTTAATGGTATGGAAAACGTTAATGAGATGTTTAAGTTTGCCCTTGTACATTAAAATAAAGTACGAAATAAGATTTTTATGTTTCCATTTATTTTCTATTATATTTACACAAGTAGGTTTTGATGTAAATAAGCCAAGATTTTTATTATTATTATTATTAATTTTTTTATGTACATGCATATCAGATGGCTTTGAATCACGACAAATAGAATAATGTGAATAATAGGTTCATAATGTTTTACAAACTTTTTACATAACTTTAACAAAAGTCCTCTGGTTTTCTTGTCTACTATAAATGGAATTTAATTGACTTCAGAAGATGGAATATAAATCAAAAACTTTTTGGATGTAATGATTTATATTCTCACTTTTTGTGACTATCGAACTACGTGTATTTCTTTTCATTGTTCATCAATGCTGGTCAAAGGTTGTACACGCTCTGCCCCAGGTTCAGGTCATAAATTTAAAGTACAGTTCCATAAAATTATTAAATTGACGAATGTTAATATCCAGATTTAAATATTGTATGTAATGTACTTTCGACTCTACATAGTGTAAATAAAGCTACTGTGGTACGGGTATCGTCTACTTTGGTGTGTTTCTTGGTTATGCTGCTTTTTAAGTTTCCCTGATCACTTAGGGACGGTATCAAAGGCATTCTTCTCATTTTTATTAATATACAACTCATGCATCTTGGGGAAAAAAACCCACTTATCCGCCGATATAACGAGGATTTCAGTTGTATCGACCATCATTGTACAGTGTGTGAATGAATAAACTGGGTGACACCTGATTCAATATATATATATATATTTTTTTTTGGCAATCGCAAAGTCTAATAAACTAAATACACAACAACCTTTCTCTACAGTCAGTAATCATTTCGGTTTAGTGAGGACTTAAAGATGTCGAAAGTCCTCAGCGGATGGTTTTTTTTTTAAATATCAGAAAATGTTATTTTAATTAATGAATATTTTTTCGAATGCTTTGCAAATATGTCAAAATACATCGAACAACCTTTGCCGTATAGATTTGAGGGGAGGGGAGTGGTATCTCGACCCCAAGCATTTGTGTCTGGAACATGCATATATATCCCAATGTCAGTGTCTCTGCCAGCAATGACACACATTAAGATAGAAGAGTAATTAGTAACATATCTGTCAAGGGTTTAAAGTTGAATGATGTACTTTTCTATATTCTGGTGAATATTTTGAGGATTTTGATTGAAAAGGGACTATACATGCAGATGTATTTTCAATATTTATGTAAACTTACAGAAAGTTTCAGTCATCTTTTGTTGGAAACTGGGAGGGGGGGGATCTGAGGGGTTTGTGTGTGTACAGTTCTGGTATTTCTCACATAAATTATTACAACTTTTTTTTTCTTTATCAACAAACTGCATATTTTGCATAGAAATGACTAAGTTCAACAAATGGTATTTCCCCCATAAATGATCAAAAATCTAAGTACCATACACATCTCTGATATGTTACAAGTATGTAAAAATTGATCTGCAAAATAAAAAAAAAAAAATCCTAGCTTGAAAACTGTTAGCTGCAGAACTGTAGCGTGATGGTTTTATATGTATTTAGTCTTTGACCAAAACGCCACAAATCCCGTGATGCAAATATGGTGCAATTTATAATTAAGCGCAAGATTTTCTGCGAGTGACTGGGGAGAATTTCTCCACGGTCCAGCATTGGTCAGCCAACTACCTTTCACTCCCTAATTCTAGACATATTCTTTAATCAACCTGTATATTTTATCCACCCCCTAACCCTGTACAGTCGTCTCTGCAGACCAATAAACTCGCTTGTTTTGAGTCTTCTGCCATCCGAACAAAAAAAATCAAAATCTCAAGATATACGGTGTGACGGACGATCAGCCAGACAGACAGCCAGACGCCGGATAAAGTACTCCTTAAGTGTCGCTCTGTTCTGCAGGCTGTTGGAGCTAGTTATCCGGACAAACGATGTACCCTGTATGCATTATTTTGCATAAAAAATGACTGTTCAACACCTGGTATTTTTCTCATAAAAAATCAAGTAATATGCATATCTTTGATACATGTACAATTAATCTGCAAAATAAAAAAAAGTTCGCATCATTTTCACCATTTCACTAACCGGATTAAAACTCGATTTAAAAAAGTGTAGGCCAGCCCAGCCCCCAATTCATGTAATTCATGCAAGACTTGTTTTATAAGGAAACGATGCGTACATGCGTACTTGTTGCTGTTTTTTTTTTTTTTTTAATATCCCCGCATGAAAAGGGGGGTATACAGGAATGGGGGTGCCCGTCCTTCTGTCTGTAACACTTGGGGTATACCCATCTCTTATCCACAACTCCTCCTACACCACTGAATAAAATTTAAATAGACTTTCATAGAATCTTATTATGTACCTCTTTTCGATTTCTATCAGACAGATATTTGGGGTTTTCCATAGGAAAAACATGGACACTGCCATTCTTTCTATAACATAGGGGGTACCCATCTTTTATCCGCAAAAGAGGACTTTGCCATTATACTCATATGGGAGCGGGAACGAAGGGTATCATTTTGTGAGCTCAGTGCTCAGAGTGACTCTAGTTTTTACAATGGTATGTGTAAAACTGTATTATTCCTTTTTTTGACAATTATCTCTGAGTCGCCATTATTTTTATAAATTCAAAAGCTGTTTGGATAAAATCTAAACTTTATTTTTCAAAGGTTTCAGTAAATCGTTATTTTAATGGGGTTAGTTCTTGTGTTTATATTTAATTTATAAGACAATGGGGTGTGCAACCTCAACTAAAGGTCTAAATTTAGATATGATGTATTCTGTTTTAGAGGATTGGTAACTGTCTACTCAATGCCGTTGCTAGGTGCTTGTTAGACCCCCGACAAATGTTGGAAAAAATATTTGGAGGCAATGAGGTACAATTTTGAAATTCATTAAATTAACTGTACTGATTTCTATAATTATTAATTTTTTTAAATGAATTGATTTCTATATTTTTTTCTTATTTTTTAATGATTCTGTGCATTGCTCTACATACATGTACGTGTCACTGCTTGTGATCTGTAAACTCGATGCCGTTTTATCAGCTAGGCTGTTGCAATATTGGTAACTGGTTGTTTTGTGCCCGAGGTCAAAAATACAAAAGTGCATGTCAATAACTATAATGAAAATATTTTATCATCCTATTGGAGTTCATTTCATGTTACATGCATTTTCTAAATCCACCTGGTATGCATTTGAATCATATATATATTTAATAGAGAAAAATCTTCTATGTAAGTTTTACATTGTTGTTTTATGGCCCTAGGACTATAAAATAAATGATATACACTTTGTACAATATGTTTCACTTGTCAGCTGTTAGGTTATTTGTACTGGGGACTAAGCTCACTGTGAGCCCCTTAAACTGACTGACATTTTACATGAGGAGGGGACCCAGCTTTATCAGGTTATTAGGTTTTGTACCAAGATAACGATTATCCATAGGCTTAGGCACGAGCACCAAAATCAATTCATTTTTGTGGCCATTTATCTAGTATTTAAACTGATTGGCTGTTAGGAGTGTAACAGGAAAAAATTGTATTTCCACTTATTTCTTTAACTTCCGCATCCGTGCGCTTGGGTGAAAATGTGTCGATGAACTACGTACAATGGATTAGTGACTGGTTGATGAGTGGATGATCCAACCTGGTATAGGATTACAATGTATAATTTCACGTATAGAAGGTCTTGTATTTCGGCAAAGTGTCATCGCCTCTGAATGGGATGTACCCAGTAATTGTTTTGTGTGATTTTGCTGCAGAAAATTGAAGTTGTTGTGAACTATGATGTATGTTATACAACACGGGACAAATTTAAGCCGGGATCGTTGATATTTTATTGCATCGAGGGAAAATATATTGGGGCCATTCTAAAATAAATCATAGTATGATGCTATAGGTGGACCTGGATTTTATTTCCAGCAAACACGTATACACTCTGTTTGAGTCTTCCGTTACATGTTGTCATGGATTAACTGTGCAGTACAAGCATACTATTGACTTGAGAGGTCATCAGCTGGAATTTAAGAGTATTGCACAAGTTTCTGCACTGGATGTTTTACCATAGTTATGATTTAGTACATGAAATGCACTTAACTTTTGGATGAAAATCATTGAGGAAGTGCGATGTGGAGGTATATGTGCATGTCTTATTATTAATTTATTTTAGATTAAATTCTTTCTTAATCTGAGAGTACGTGAGCAACAAATTGTCACATTTTTGTCATATCTGAGAATCTTCAAGGGGTTCAGCCAAAAATCACGTGCACCATGTAACGTTCCTCCCTCATGGTTTTTAATTATGGGTTGAGCCACAAAATGCGCATTGAGTGCTTTTATATCCGTGTAGCATTATCAGTTATGGGTTAGTCAGACGAAAGTAAAAATGACGTCAAAATTTATAGCCAAATATAACGTGTGGTTAAGATGATTACATTTGCGTGTAATAATTAAGACCTCTTTATCATTATCATTATTGTATATAATGTAAAAGAGTATCACTACATGTTAAAAATTCAATGACTCGAACAGCATCAAGTGAAAGTTGATGTCTTAAGTACATTGGGGTGTTTACCTCATATATCAATTTAAATGACATTGTTATATGGTGGCATGCAATAAAGCTGTATAGAGATCTGTTGTAATTTCTGTCATTCTTAGAAGATCGTGTAGGGTAAAGTCTATATAAGGTCACATTCAAGAGCATTATATCACAGCACGAGTGTTCACATCAGAGTGCCTAGCCTAGCTAGTGTATAGTGGTTATTTTGTGGTGCAGCTGGAATATTGGGTTCTTGTGTGCAAGTGAAATTTAGGTGCATGTTATACCCCAGAGCAAAACATATGTAGTGGACATGCAGTCTGGTTCAATTTGGGAAAGGGACACTAAAATATTAATTAAAAAAAACTCATATATATTACATTTCAGAATTCCTTTGCAAAGAATGGTAGTGTCGTAACGTTTGTTACCTGTACAGGTTAATTAATATGGTGATCCAGTCACCACCGCCATTACTGTGTGAAAGGTTAGGCGTTAAGATCGATTCGATAAATGGGTGTGGGTAGATGTTCCGCGATAAGGGTTAAAACTGCTTTAATGGCCTTGAAATAAAACAAATTAGAGACGATGTGTATAGAAGTCCTACATCGGATACATGTTATTTAATCACTTCATATCAATTCAGTTTGGTACTCGTCTAGACGTCTGTTCCTTTTTAAAACATCCCGAGATACATGTATTAAACATGGCTTAATTACTATACTGATCTGAACTTTCAATGGATCCCTAAATCATGCTAATATCTATCATACTGTGGTGTACAATACCAATCCATAAAAAGATTCTTTTAATTATTTTTGTGCTGTGATATAATTATTAAAGTAATGTGAAACGATTTCCAGTCTGATGTCATACCTACATGTATATGTACCTATCCACCCATCTATCTACAGGCAGGCAGGTAGGTAGGTATACATGTAGGTTGGTAAGTAAGTATGACAGGTTTTCATTTTTACTTACCTACCTACATATTTACTTACCTACCATTGAATACTTACATATTAACACGTGCATAGCGACAATCTTCATACATGTACAAAGTGTATTGATTTAACATGGTTAAGACAGGAACTATTTCCCTTTCTCAATCATGTATTACGTGTAATGTAAATCCTTGTCAACAAAAGGGGGCATTCTGTATGCACGAAACCTTTAATCAATTTCCGCCTATGTCCAGCTAATTCTATAGTTCTTGAGGTGTGTTAACACTGAACATCATTGAAGTGAAAAAAAATTGACCTTTCATGTTTTAGAATTTTTAACTGTATCATGTTTTGTAGGTGGTGCAAATCGGCTTTTAGAAACTCACGAAGATATTGGAAATATGGACTTCTTTTTACAGTCATTGTCAGTGTGATTGAGTTGATACGAATATTTTTAGTGAAAAATGTGACTCTGTGTACAATTCCACGTGAGGAAATTACCACCACAACTATGAGACCCCCGGATAATTTTTCCTATCCCCATGAAGCTGATTTTGCAAGGTTACTGGAAGACATAGAAGCCAATCGTCCAATTTATCTGGAACCAAATAATATTCATGGATTTAATTATATTTCTAATCCAGATAATATATGCAATGTGAAAAATATACACAAAAAGAAAAATCCATTTTTTCTCTTAATTTTGATTAAAAGTTCAAGAGATAATTTTCATTTACGACAGACTATTAGATGGCGAACAAAGCACAAAACATTCAAAAAATGGAGAAGGCGTGTTAGAATAGTATTCTTGTTGGGATATTCATTTAATGAAACCAACGACGACTTATCGAAAGAAAGCGCCATGTTCAAAGATATAGTACAAGAAGATTTTCTAGATTCCTACAGGAACCTGACCTACAAGACTGTAATGGGATATAGGTGGGCCACCAGGTATTGTCCAATAGCTACTCATATACTTTATCAGGATGATGATTTTCATTTTAATGTGGAAAATGTATTTAGCTACCTTCGCCAACAGGCGAATCCTGATTCTGTGTACATAGGATACTATATAAACGACTCTCCCCCGGATAGACATAATACAAGTAAATATTTCATGTCATATGACGACTATCCTCACCGCTATTATCCGCCCTACTTCCCCGGTGGTGCTTATTTTGTGAGTATGAACATTGCACAGAAGTTTGTAAAGGTTTTTCCGTATGTCAAACATATGGCAATTGATGATGTCTTCTTGGGAATAGTGGCATATAAACTAAATGTGACTTTGTACCATTCCGATTTGATCGCATTTAATGGCTGTGAAAATTTTACTGAGATTATTTCGTGTAGAGGATACAATAGCATTGGCGAAGTCTTCTATGGCTGGAAAGAATTTATCAAAGATTTAGGTATTTTCAAAAGTGCCTCTTTGATGTTTTCTATTGAAGACAATACTAGCAATAATAATCACTTAAAAAATCCTTCCAAAGCTTTAAGTAAAAGCTGATAAATGTGATTATAGTCGTGAGTATTATTGTATGTGTTTGTCAGATATTCAATTACAGGAAGGGATGGATGCTGCCTTATGCTCAATGTGATTAATATATTGTTTAACGGTTTGCATGGTGAGGTGTTGACTACATGTATATTATTTATTCAATACCTATGACCCATCTACCTTTTGATATGTGCTTTATTTATTTTATTTATCGAGGGATATTACGAAATTGTACGTGTTATAAGTTGACCATGACCCATGAACTTGTTGAGATTTTCTTAGGTAATTTATTGGTGATATCGTTATTGACAGTGTTATTTTTTAAATTAAAATCTTAGGGCAGCTTAAGAGTGATAAATATTGGGCTGTAAAATCTGTGTTCTGTGGCATGTCAAAACTTAATACGTGAAATTTTTTGTTTACTTTTTTTTCTCCTTTGCAAGTGTTTAAACTATAGTTGCAAGTGGAATAGTAAATAGATACGCAATGCATTCATGCAATAGAGTACAGGAAAAAATAACCGAGGACTGGAACTTTAAAAGTCTTAGATGTGTAAAAAGAAAAGGAAAATAAATAAAGGTTTTATAATACAAACAAAAAGTTAAATACAATTTATTTAATTAACAAAACTCAATCCGAGTAAAGAATTTTTTTTTTTTTTAAAAAGGACATCAAATATACAGTATACAACGTCGAAGAACACGTTGGAAGTTGGACAATAAATAAACATATTAATATTCGAAATGAATTGTAAAAAGAAGTCCACATATTGTACAAAAATGCTACAAAACCTATACAGCAGATGTACAGGCGCAATAATTTATGTTCATATGAGGATTGTAGACTGGGGATGTGGTTAATTTTGTAGGATGGATTTCACATCCGGACGAATCAATATCGTGATATTGACATCTGTTAGTTTCTGTCCGGTGACTGAGAATCAATAAAGCTACAATAATCGTCCACAAGCATTTCAACATAACAGTAATTTGCTCATCAATTATATTTATCACCAGGGGATTCTTTATCAAAATAGAAATTAACAAACAGGATTGCAAAATGTTTTACAAATAAAAGAATGTATAGTAACAAAAGTATTTGAAAATGAGCTTCGGCATGCTCTTGTTTCAATGAATCTGTTCGAAATTGAAAGATTGCCTTAAAATTTGAAAAAAAATGTTCTGATATTCTTTAAATGATACCTCAAAATACTTATGATTAAGCCACACATACACTGTATATGATCTTTTCTTATTCGAGAAATCCTGTGATATATATACTTAATAGTATTCATGTCCGAAATGATGTAAAATGTTTCATGAAATTGCACTCTTATTGCGCTTCGATTACGTACATGTATAGGCCTTATAAATAATATACTGGATGGTTTAAATCTGATGCATGAATTAGCTGTAATATTTAAGGTTAATCGTCCTCTTATAAGAGAGATAACTCTTTAGGAAATTAATGACTATTATTCTCTTTAAAAGACAAATTAAAAGGCGATTTCTGTCAATTCTGGTATGCAAGGTATGCAGATATTACTCACAGTTCTTTTCAAAAAAAAAAATCAAAAAATTCAACTTCTTTTCAAATGTGAAGGAAAAATTTATCACGAGTGAATAGATGGGATGAATAACCTTTAAGTGCTATACCTATTATACCTATAAATAACTGACTGACTATTATACTGTAAAATCACATATTTTGGTGGGTTTAAATATTCGTGGTTTGAGTAAAAATATCAAATATCAAGGGGTTGGATTTAGAGGTTGAAGAAGTTTCTTGAAGGATATAAATTCGATCGTGAGTTTCTTTTTAAGAAACAACGAAAAGTAAACCCTTACGAAAATTAGTGATTGCACAGTATTTGTCTTTCTTATCCAAAGTTATATTCTGAAAATTGTTATTAAATTAAAACCTCATACTGCATGGGAAAAAGGGAGAATGATTTCCTTTAGATCCTTTTTTGTAACCCCAGAAGCAAAGCAGAGCAATAAATATAAATAAACATATTATGATAAACATATTAAATCACCGGGAACAGAGATTCATTCATATGCGAGTTCAGCTTCAAATGACGCACGTGTATGAATTTAACCTATATTTACATCTTCACCTCACAGTTACTGGGCCCTACATGTATACATTTGAATCAAACTAGATAAATATACATATATACATGTACACTTCCCAGAAACTGTATTAAAACATCCTGTTTCCATTGTCTTTTTTCCCTAAGGGCTTGTTCTTCTTAATGGATACATAAGGCACATCCTCTGATGTAGTGTTAACCAAGTAAGGATATGAACGAAAAATAAAAAAAAAATTGTCTAGGGTTTATTTCCTTATTTTCTTTAAAATACTGCTATTTCACCGTAATATACTACTTATTTGTTGAAGTTATGAGGATGAGCACTTAAAAGGAATTTAAGAAAGAAACGGCATCTTTAGTAAATATGGGTGTTTGAAGTAAAACGGAATACTAGTACAATTAATCTGGACGGATTAATGAACAAGTGTTGTTGTGCTGTTTCTGTTTCATAGATTTAAGACCGCAGAACATTAACTGGCAAAATTGGAAATATGAAGCTTACGTCGTTTCCATCTGTTGCAGTCAAAATGTTTAAAGAAAGACAATTAATTCGACACGGACGTCCGAGAAAACATTGGATTGAAATTCTAGTTTGAAATTCATTTTCAATCCACCTGAGCTGTTTTCAAACCTAAAGTGTGAATGTATGATCCAAAAGACATTATTTCAATTCCCAAATACATGTTGTTTGAAATTTTATATTTATTTGAGTTTTTTAGCCTATAATTTTAAAGACACGTAAAAATAATAGAAAGCAGAGATTATTTTTTTAGGAGACGGCCATTTGATTCTAGAAAAGGGGGGGGGGAGGGGCTGTCAAAAATTGTTAAGTCAGATCATGCCTTCACATGACAGAATATATTTATTTCTAGGATGACAAGAGCTTTAAGTATGGACTTCACTGAAAAATGACAAACAAATACAGGGAGGGGTTGTCCAAAGAAAAGAAAACTTTCTTACTTATTTCAAAGATCTATCAGCCCCCCCCCCCCCCCCCCCCCCACCTAGCGCACACATGCATACCAAACAGAAATCAAATATTTCTTTAAAAACACTGGACAGAAAATTCTGATTTATATAAATTTCAAACTTTTCCGAAATTGAAATTATTTGTCTTCTGGGTCAATCAGTAACACCGTGCGTTCTAGAGTAGCTGAGGTGGATTGAAAATGAATTTCAAACTAGAATTTCAATCCAATGTTTTCTCGGACATCCGTGTCGAATTGTGCCCGCCCATTTCATTTTCTATCATTAAATTATTTAACTTTAACAGATAGAAATGACGTAAGCTGCATATTTCCAATTTTGCCACTTAATGTTCCGCGGTCTCAAATCATCATATATGTCTGTGTTTCTTGAAGAATATACACTGAATGCCTTATTTGTATTAGCTTCACTTATGAATGACTATAGTTATTGTTTATGTATGTTTTGTGATGTTTGTATGATAGGATTAAGTTATTGATATATAATGCTGTCTATCCTCTTTGTCTAACATCATGGCGCCCTAATATATTTACCTGAGCTTCCCTAATTAACAAGAAAATATGACAGTTTACTATATTGCGTAATGAAATACTTTGGTTTACATTTATATTTTACTGTAAAACATTTTTTTTCCTTTAAGATTTAAAACCTATAAATTTTGGAAATAATATGTGAATATACAATTTTTTTTCTTTTTAATATTAAGAAAATCTTCATGTTAGAATTGGAAAAGGTGAAATATAACAATTTGAAATTCATATTAAATTTACTTTGATTTACTTTGGGGAAAAAACCGTTAAATTTACTTCAATTATAAAACTTTGATACATTGATTAACAATAGTAAAACTGATACGATAGTAACTACATGTACATTTAACAAAAGAATTTTAATAGGGTTTCTTTTATTCAAAGTACATGTATTTATTTATGATGACATGGCAGATTTATAAAATTCAGTAAATGTGTATCAAAGTGAGCATTGGATAGATTATTTGTGAAACTGGGTCAAGTGGGCATGAATGAAGTGAAATGCAAATGATGATTGCAAAGTGTGATTATAGATACGCTGCGTCAGTGATACGCCTCATATATTTCTCCTTGTCTGACGATATTTTGTTTTTATAAGGAAGCAAATTAGTCCTGCAATATGCTCAATTTTCTGAATAAATTTATGATATACATTTTTTCTTTGTTGTTACTTGTACTTATTTGTTACTTCTAATGCAACGGAATATCTTGCAAATGAGATGTTTGTAAATAGTTTTATCTCTACACACATTTAGGGAGAACACATGAAAACCAAATTGGCGATAGACACTAGGAAGTTTTAATTTTTGGGTTGAGTAATTGTGTTTATTAACTTATATTTACATTTCCAAAGATTTTTCCTTAAGAGTCTTTGCAAATTAGAAAAAGTTCATGTTCTCATGAACTACCATGGGATGAGTAAGACTGAAGTCAAAAATTAGTGCTATCTTTTTTTATTCAAAAAATGATCGTTGAATGACAAAAATATATGGCAAGTCATCAGAAAAATAATGTAAATGTAAAATATGAACTTAATTTTTGAGAATTCATGAGGTACATGAACTACAACGCTGCACGCCTGCATACTAGTAGTTGACGCGCTTCATGAAATATGTCGGCGTGAAGCGTCGTAGTTCAAGTCCTCATAAATTCTCATTCATTTTTTAAAATACTGATTTGTGTGTGTGTGTGTGTGTGTGTAGCCTAAACTTTACTAATGATATTAATAGCTTGAAAACTTGTCACAATAAATTTACATGTCTGCAACAGTAGCAGAACTACTTTAATTACTCTACTACACCGTTAGTTCAAAGCATGAAATAAGGTGTTGACCAGTGCAGCTTGTCAATTTCAAATGGTGTATTACAACATTGAAATTTTTTTGGAAAGCTTCAAGGTCATTAACGATTTTCTTCTTACATGCAAGAACCACTGGGGAACATAAAAGAGCTTAAATTGATATCATGGCGGGGAGGGGTTGGGTGAGGCATAGGGAATTGAATTCGTACAAGGGAATGTATCGGAAAATAAACAATATAGTGTTGTCAACAAATCAACAATCTTTCAAAATCGTTTTCAAGAAGAGCAGGGCCATGATTAGTCATACCAGTATTAGTAAATATTTATGTAAATGCAACAATCCTTATATAGTGTGTACATTTTAGTTTGTTCGAAACATGATCCAAAGTGGGTAGATGGGATCAAAATAGGGTATGAAATAATGTCAAAAAAAGTAAAAGTCCTATCGAGGACTGCAGGACCCTGATTAATCATACATATAGTAATAAGTGAAACTTTGAACATGCAAGATATTGGACCTCAGATCCAGGTACATGTACCGGTATATAATAGCTTTCTGATATTTATGAAGTCTGTCAATCAAAATTATTATTACAATGTGCATTAATATGGTAAATTGCATAAAACTTTATATATTATAGGAACACTGTATATATAAATCCTTTTCCTAATTTATATATACTAATTCAAAAATAAAGAAATCTGATGATGGATCGATGCAACTATGCTACAAAAACTTTATAGGTG